ACCTCATGCAAATCTAATGTGTCTAATGGCAAAATAAAAATGCTAAGTAACAACCCAGGACAAAAAGGATTTAGGACGAAACAACCTCACACCCCAGTAATGCATGTATGAATCATGCAAGCACTGTATGTAATAATGGGAAGTTACATTTTGACTCTTAGTCCATGGGTATCTGCTTCAAAAAAAAGGTGGGGGGAAAGGTGGGGCTTTGTCTAGGACATGTATATATGTAGGTTGGCGTCCCTACCCCCCCCNCCCATTACTACTCCGACAATGCTAGAAGTTTAAAGCTGACAGTGCAAATTAAAAAGCTTTCAATTGGAATAAAAAAAAATCTGGTTTTAAGATCTTCCCCATCTCTTCTGACTATAGTTTCCAAGGAAATTACGACATTTTAGTTTGTCCTTGCTTGGTAATGAGTATGGGTCACGCTGCGTATAAAAACTGTCAAACAGGTTATCATTCTACAACTGACCGCCCTTCAATTCAATGCAGCACGCACCCTGATTGGCAACCGATATCAAGAATCAAGCGCACTCACCTGAAAACTTTGAAACATGGCCAATCTGTTTGTTATTTATGGCACATTCTCCAAAATAGTGTATCCAAAATAAAAGGTATTTTATTGAAAATGTTTCTATAAATCCCATATATATCATCGGTCACACAAAACTTAATTATGAACTTGTAGTCTTTGTCGTATAGACGCTTTACTAGCTAAACATGTGCAAATGCGACAATCCCCGGTGTGAAGTCAACAAGGTAAAATTTGATTATTAAACCGTTCTCATGAAAATGATTGGAATTAGTATTGTTTTCACACAGGAGGTTATAACTAGTTGGATATCTAATAGGTAGACATTAGCATTCATCATATGTTTCCTTTTTTCATGGCTTTTTTTTGGGGGGGGGCAGGGATTGTGCATTATATTTCATTTGGTCGTATTTTACTACTGTTTCCACTTTTCTTAGATAAATGCTTACTTTGATGTGTTCCATTTTAATTTTATTCAACTTATCTGATACAAAATGTCAGTAAAAGATTGTGAAAGTGTTATATATATATAGTATAGTAGTGTCACCTTCACACATGTTGAACAAATGATAACCGGTTTGATGGGTAATGTGCTTTTTATACCAAGCAAGGACCAAACTAAAATGTCAGCACTTCCTCAGAAACGATGGTCGGATGAGGAGAGGAAGGTCTCAAAACCAGTAAAAATATATTTTTAGTGATTTTTTGTTTTTAATCTCAGTTGAAAGCTTTTTAACTTGCACTATCAGCTTTAACATAGTGAGAGTGTTATGGCAGGCACCATGTAATATAATGTCCAACATCCAAAAGTTGATGTAAATGTTCATAAGTGATTATACATGTATAAGTAAGAAAACTTGTTGCACAATTATTGTAAAATAGAGTAAGTCTATATTTTGTTGATCAATATTGAAAACAACTTAACATTAAGAAATGACATGACAGGAATAAAAAACGATTTGGTTCTTTGGCGATATATTTATACAAATAATTATATCATTTCAAATTTGATAAGCATCATTCATAATTTTTGTTAGTGAAATTAGTTCTTGATTTATTTTCTTCTAAAAACTGATACTTGATATTGCTTGTAGCATTCATTTAACAATGAAATCCTGACATAAACAAATTCTGTTATGAGAGCTTGAGGGTGTATGAAGGTTTAATTTGATTTTAGAAAGGTGTTTCTTTAAATATATATATTTCATTTTTATTCTAGTAAAAGTTATTCAGAAATATACAACAAAAGGTGATTGATCAGCTGGTAATTTCATGTTGCTGTAAACTGCTGCAGTGTATAAAACGTGAGAAAATTTAAATCTCCTCGAGAAATCTATTACCTGTGGGAAAAAGAAGACAGAAATAAATGACTTGCAGTATTGTTGGGTGGTTTAATAACCTAAGCCATAACCATCATATTTTAAATTCAAGTATTTGAAAAGTTGAACTTGAATCTTTCTGGTTGATTACTTTCAGTTATTTCTTCACAAAAGCTGGTCTAGTTTATATGGGAGGAAAGCAGTTCATTGATGACTGTACCACACATCTATAAATCAATTTTGTAGTTTTCATTTGTGATTCAAAAATGCTGAAAGGGAGATCAAAGAGAACTGAAAGGGAGAATTGTTGAAGTGATGTTTGTCCATACAATGGGAGTACATTAATTACCTCGACCACCTTGTGGTAGTCTAGTCTGTTAAAAGGGGTATCATACCTGATACAAATTTTGTTCTCACATTTTGAGTTCATACAAAAGAACAACAGAAGTACATTTTACCTGTAACTTTTAATGTTAAACAAAAAGCATGTTTTTGACTTCCAACCCAAACAACTGTTAAAAGAAAAATTGGTAAAGGTTCCAAAAGTGTTCTAAAAAAAAATCAAGTTTAGGCATATACCCTAGGAGCATATTCCCATGTATAATTGAATTCAGTGGGAATAATACCACAACAAATGTTCAAAATTCAAAATGTTTTCCTACTTACAAACTGGTTTTTAAGCAGAAAACATGATACCAGTAGTTATCATTTTCTTTATATTAGCCATACTATTCAAACCAAATATTTTGCATACTCGTGATATTGTTGTAAGCATTTAATCATTGCTTTTGTAGGTTCACCTATGTGCAGATAAATTATACCTAGAATTGTTCTTTTGTTTTTGATCTTGGGTAGAAATATATGGTCCATGTCAAATGAAGTATTGTCGTTTTATACACAAATTTGCAGAACCAATCATTTGAAAGTAGCAAACAGTCAAGATATAAATATTTGCATTTACTTAAAAAAAAAAGAACTAGAACTTAAAATCAATGTTATGATTAGTTTAGTTTACATTAACTCAGCTCAATTATTCTGTACCATTGAATCTAATATTGAGCTTATAAATAACTTTCATTCATTCTTTACTGGTTGGTTGGCTGAAGGGTTTTGCGCCTACATGAATCCGCCCTTACGGGTTTCTTAGGGCGGATTCATGTTCCTATACTGAACATTCCAGTTGATAAATACCTCAGCTAATTTATAGTACACAACGAAATACATGATACCCTGGTCTGATCATGCTGTGATCCTTCTGTGCTTGGCTTGGTCAGGACATCATACAGTTATCCATAAGCTTGACCCCTGTAGTTTAGACAAAGACTTGTGGTGTGTGGTTGTGACTGCAAGCTGAAGTTGATCCACGATCACACCAGAACAAGTCCAGTAGGTCCAGTGGTGTGGAATACTGTTTTATATGTATCTATATTATAAAAATGTCCTTTGAATAAATAAAAAGTCCAGTAGGTTATTATTTTGTTTGTAGAGGAGAGGTAGGAGTGGTCTGACAGGCTGTTTCCACAACCTAAGGATCAGTTAACAGTTTGTGTTGTATTTTCAGAAAGCTATTTGTATTAGGGCTAAGAAACAACAGCAAGAGTACAGACGAACTTAGCATGAGACAACTTAGATATTTTCACATTTAAAATTCTGGTGCAGCTTCAAGTGATTATTAAATTTATCATATGAAACAGCAATTTACTGTGTTCATGGGCCAAACATGCCCAGATAACTTTCATACAAAAATACCATGAGTAAGAAAACAATTTTGCTGAATTCATAATACTGATGCAATTTTGCTGAATTCATAATACTGATGCAATTTTGCTGAATTCATAATACTGATGCTAATTTCTGGTGCAGCTTCAAGTGAAATTATCATATGAAACAGCAATTTACTGTGTTCATAGGCCAAACATGCCCAGATAACTTTCATACAAAACAACCATGAGTAAGAAAACAATTTTGCTGAATTCAAAGACATGCGCTGTATTTGTACCAGAGGTAATATCTATGATTGAGTTTGATTTTAAAATTTCAATAATGTAGTCGTGGGTTTGGGTTCATTCTGACATTAGTGTATGTTGTACGCAGTGAGTAATGATTAAAACACATACTGATGCTAAATTAATACATTTGTATGAAAATGTCTTTTCAGTGTTTGTGTTATAAAACACCAGGCAGGCTTTAAAGCTAAAGTGTGCTGTGTAGGGGGTTATTTTCAGAATAAAAAACTCTAGTGACAATTCCTTTGACCAGTGATAATGTTCATGTTTTAGAAGAAAAAAGATCACTAACATTGCATAATCTAAATAAATTTTCTGAAGAATTTTTTGACATATTTCACAATGTTGAATTGCATTTCATTTGTATGTTCATAATTGTGTCACATTAACTTTTTTATGGTTATTTAATGTAAGAAGTTCAATCATCTTTAAATTATTCTAGAACATTAGCTATTAAATAATTGCATTTTACCCAGGATGGACTTATAAATGATCATCATATATTTATATAGTACAATTTATTTGAAGCAAATAATTATGCGGACCTTTATTTAATTAATTTATCCATTCAAATCATAAAAGATAATCTGTTTAATTATGCTTATTGAATATGATGTGGAAATTGCAGACTAAACATTACCTTATTATGTAAATACCTGCTCTGTTTCCCTTTATATCTGAAACCCAAAATGTTTAGAACCAACACTGACTACAAAGTAACTGGAGGGCACCTGTTAATTACAGGTAAACAGCAGCAGGTAATCCTTGCATCAGGTGTTTGTCACAGCCCCAGGTACATACGGCTATTACCACCTGGGCTTGGTTTTGTCTGTCAATTGTGACAATAGGTAGGTCGTGTAAATAGTGATCAGGGCCCTGAGACTGGAGGCTTGGTGTACACACCCAACTAACTCTGTCCTGCTGGCTCATTTAGGAAGTGGGTGTTGGTACAAGGACAGGCAGGGTGCTTTTTCTAGACCACCTGTAGATGTGATGTTAGTGTAGGCCGTTTGTTTTTTCATGGAGGATATTTCGAACTTCTTGATTCAGAAATTCTACTTTCATATTTAAAGAAGAGTGGAAGTGTTTTGGATTTACACTGTGTTTGTAGCTGAATTTTTAACAAATGAGCTTGGAGACATTGATACAGCATACATTGAAGACTTTGGATTTTACCATTATTACATGATATATATAGTGAATTTAGCCAGATGTGAGTGCTAGTACTGTGAAGTTATGTAATTAGATACCAGATACTACATACCATTGAGCAATGAAGGTGAAGATGAACCCAGTACTACCATTCCTAAGTAGATATAAACCTATCCAGCTGTATAGCCACACAGACATTGATCCAACATGTATCAGGTAGCAGCCTATTTTATATTTCATTTCATTTTCAGCACCATGTGCCTGCACAATATTAAAAAAGTATCCAGCTTTTTGGCTTATGAGATAATGTCACATATGCAACATATCGTGTATTCATTAACAACATAATATATATAATTACCACAAATTATGATCTTTAATGGTAGGAGATAACATTTTGCTATCGGCATTCACACCAGACGTGTTATAGCCTCACATGGATGATCGATCAGTTATCCCACTTCAGCAAGCTGATTTTGAATCCAGATGTTGTGCTACCCGATAGTTTCAATATACCATAGAATAGGATGGTTCTAACCTTTTTTTCCAAAGGAGAAAAAAGATTGAAAAATCCTAAATTTAAAAACAGCAGCTAAAACTTTGTTTGTGGGGGGTTTTAATAAGCATTCTTCAGTTGATATATATTATAAATTTATACATTGGTAAATTATTTACAGCAATTACTTATTTATAAATTTAAAATTTGATGAAACATAATATTATGGTACATCCAAGTCCTATAAACATATATTTCTACACATGTTTTAAAAATATACTTGTTGCTGTCCGAGGGTCAATTACATACAATGTACAACAGCCCATATAAACTGGAAATCCAACTTATTTGTGTGATTAAGTTCCTGTTTCTATGTATATGTACTTCTTTGCAAATCTAAATCCTTTTCTATGGTCATGTCAATTAACAAAGGGTAAAAGCCATGAATCCCCCCAAGTCTAAACATTAGCCCTTTGTATGGTTTTGTATATACCATACATAGAAAATGCCTGCAGTCACAGAGAAATGGTCTGAATTAATTTGGTTTCTATGATTACTTGCTTTGTATACAGATTTTATCAGTGAGAAATACCTTGGGGGAAGAAACAGCTTTATTACTAAATAAATACCAATGTGTAATTTATACCTGAAGGTACCTAATGGACAGATCAAAGACATTCCTTTTTATTTACAATGCCAACTTTACGTCATGTTGAGGTTCTTTATTGTAATTTGCAAGGACAGTCCACAGTAAACTTTTTATATACAGAAATAAAATATATTATATTACTTTGATAAAAGGTTTATAATATTTTTCTTGTAAAACATTGTAGATTTAAAATACAGATTGACAAAACTTTGAGGGAAAATTAAAAAAGATATTTTGAATAAATTATATAAGAAATATAAAGTATTTTTCTTGTGAAATAATGTAACATAGATTGGCAAAGCGTATTAAAAGGGAAGAAACAAAAAACAATTTTGATATCTATGCATATACACTATATATACAACAAGAAAAACAACCTGGAAGCAATGGTAATAATAACATATAGGTAATGAGATGTACTTGTTAAAGTAATTGCCTAATAATTTTCAAGCTTTCGATTCTTACAGCTTAATATTAAATTTCAACCTTATATTTCTTCTACAAAGTAATGAAATGAATGCTACATGAATTAATACAAATGTGACTACTACAACGATTTGACCTAATTTCCCTGTTTTGTTAATTGCAGTACAGCGAGTAAACTTCCGTCCAATGGCCTCGCCCCCATTGATGAAGACGATGATGTCTTCGTAGAAAAAGGATCCACTAAGGACCGAAAGAAGATGAAGCTATTTTCGAAGAGAAAACCAGCATCGTTTATTTCTGGGTTAAGCTTTCGTAAAAACAAGAAGTTATCTCACTACAACAAGGGAATAGGGCCTCTGTCTGAAGACAGTCTACTGGTGACACCATGCGATGGTGACAGTGCAAGTATCAGGAGCAGTGTGTCAAGTTTGGAGGAACAGCTGTCTGATCAGCGTACAGACAGTGTAGATAGTGGAATCGACTGTCTCCACCCAGCGTTTATGTCGGGAGCAAATCTTTCGTGTGGAAAAAGAACTTCTGCAGCATCCCCGCTTTCGTCTACATCATCCCTCCCGTCAGCATCAACATCGAAACTAGCAAGTGATCAGCCATCGAATCCTAAGATGCAGAAACGTCATTCCCAAAGCAATGTTATTTACCATTCCCATAGCAACACAGGTCAAAGGTCACGAGGTAAAGGTAGGGCTCCTATAGCTTCACCCGAGGACGATTCTTTGTTGGATAATCCTGAGCAGGATTATGATTCAGACTCTGATACAGATCTTCGCTCTCCTCCTCGCAAGTCTGACGTTTCTGTAAAGGACAGTAACTGTGCACACAATAGCTCTGCCTCTTCGTTCCACACCCTCAGTGACTGCTCTTCATGTGATTATGATACAGACAGTGATTCAGAGTCGTCGTCTTCTTGTAGCTCTGATGGACGGCATTGTTGCTTGGATAGGTCCACAGAGTCGGACAGTGATACAGACTCCGATACCAGCCAATGCTCTGCATATTATGTTCCCCCCAAGTGCTATACTGATTCCTTTTCATCCCAGGGTGGTTCTTTGACTGGGCGACAAGAACGCATCCCTGTCAGTAAAGGAAGCAAGTTACCTTTTAATTCTGTACATACAAATTGTGTAAATACCAGCAAGAGTGTTGCAAAACAAGACAGTTTTACAAATCATAGATCTCGGACTGAAAAGGCACCGCTTTCCTTCTTGCGCAGACGGAAAGACAAGAAGTCCTCCAAAGCTAGTAAAAAAGCTGAAAAGTCTTTTAACATTAGTCAAATTGGTGAAAAGTTGTTCAACAGTAGCCGGATGGAGGGCAAGCTAACCAACAAAAGTTGGACAGAGGACAAAACTTACAACAATAAAAGGAAATCTACTGGTGAAAAGTTGTTCAACAGTAGTTACACCTTCAATACTAGTCAAACAGAGAATAAGTCTATCAACAGCAGCAGTAGATCATTGAACAGCAGTAGTCTTTCTAGAAACAGTACTGGTCGGGATGTTAGCAGAAATGGCCGATCGTTGAACGGCAGTAGTCTATCTAGAAACAGTACTGGTCGGGATGTTAACAGAAATGGTCAATCTTTGAACAGCAGTAGTAGATCGTTGAACAGTAGTAGAACTTTGGACGTCAGTGGTCGATCATTGAACAACAGTGGTAGATCGTTAAACAGCAGTAGTAGAACTTTGGATGTCAGTGGTCGATCATTGAACAGCAGTAGTAGATCGTTGAACAGTAGTAGAACTTTGGACGTCAGTGGTCGATCATTGAACAGCAGTAGTAGAACTTTGGATGTCGGTGGTCGATCATTTAACACCAGTAGTAGAACTTTGGATGTCGGTGGTCGATCATTGAACAGCAGTAGTAGATCGTTGAACAGCAGTGGTCATAGTAGGAAGAGTAGAAGTCAGTCCATGAATGATGGCAGGTTAGTGAAAAGCAGTGGAAATAGTGTTGTGATGGAAAATCCTCATGTGCTGGTCAACCCTAGTCCAAAGTATGTTACAAGTCAAGCTGACCACAGCATCACAGCGACACCTGTCAGAGAGTCCACATCTAATCTGACGGTCAACAGTCGCAGTGCGTTTAGTCGTTGGAACACGCCAGGCTCTTTGCCACGGACACGTATATCCTACGTTGATGGAGGCAATTTTGACTTAACCTCGGAGGAACCTATTTACCATGAGATTGACGATATAAACGTGACAGACAGTGTCTCTGACCATTATGTAAATATGAGAAACACAAATGATGCTCAGATGTCCAGTTTTGGATATGTACAGATGTGTGCAGCGAGAAACATGGAACCAGTTTCCGGGGATCTTAGTCAAACAATGAGCAGCAGTGATGATGGACTTTATGTTCAGAATGAATCTAGTCAAAGGTCAGATGTATTGGACAGTTCAGTTCATGTTTGTGATCAACAGGTTTGTGATCAACATAGTCAGCTTCCCCTAAACACTTGTGATAATAATAATGATAACTTTGCCGACTTGAAGGATTCACCAAATATAACATTACCGCTAGACACATCAAAGAGTATCGTTGATGTCCGCCGTGCCATGAAAAAGACTGCATTCTGGGTAGAAAATGCTACATACGATAGCACATGTGGGTCAGAGGATGGGTCCCCTTCCTCGCTCCTGAAGGACAAGAAAACAGTGAGCGAAATGGACCTGTGTAATCAGATTATAGATATTTACTTTGGTGAAGACAGTGATTCGTCTTTGTCTTCGTCCTGCCTGGAGAATTCTCTTGACCAGGATTCCTCCCTGTCTTTTGGTACCGATGAGAACGCCTCTCCTGACGAATTTACGACAGTGCTGACAAGTCCCCAGACCATTGAGACCAATGTTGACGACTACTCGGTGGCGACCTTTGTATCGGAGCCTTATCAAACATCTAAGGCAAGGACAAGAAAGATCAGAAATGGTGAGTGGCGTATATAATATCACACTTCATGTTTAATTAACGGTGCATAAAGCCCCATAGACTAATGATAAAGAAAAGTAAAGAAAAATAGCCAATAGGCTAACGCTCGGCATCAATTACTTTCAATTCCCAACATTGATATCATAATTCTCAATGTGAATATTATATTTACATTATAAATACATGTATATTATTGCATTTATAATGTTATTTAAAACCATTTTTTAATTGCTGATATTTTTTAAAAAAAGTTTGCATTAAAACATGCTCGAACCTAATGATTGTGATTGACAAACTGTAATTAGAACCATTGTGAAATGTATCTCTACTTTACAGAATTGAATGGATTAAACATGAAATCTGTCATGGTATTGAACCAACTGTGTACAAAATTTGAAAAAAAACAAAACATTACTGTATTATTTTTCAAAATTTTATTAACAATAACTGATTTGTTTTGTCTGCAGATGGTGATGACCTTGATGATGGTGCACAACAAGACCAGAAGGTCAGGACTGCAGACACAATCAACACAAAGCATCGTCAACTTGAAAACACTATCCTCAAAGAAAAGATTGAAAATATCAAAACACCAAAGGTATGTGAAAGATATAATGGTTAAGCTGTAAATACTGTAAATCAACAAACCATGTCCAATAAGGCTCAATAAAATTGTGATTTCATTCTCCCACAATAAAAATATCATCCTCTACTTTCATAATACATTCATAATACATCTTTGGGCTCCCTGGTCTTATTGAAGGATTAATACTGTATGTATCTTATGCACATCTGAACTGTCTACTTCTGGATACCTATATACTGTTGACCATAATGCTTTGTCTAGAGGTGTCAGTTGTCGGGAGCATATTTAAAAGGCTTACACGAGTTCTTAATGCATCTTCATATTCATTTATAAGAAAAATAATAACAAATGAAAAAAAAAAAAAAAAACTGTTCAGGAATATAAATTATATTTGTAAAAGTGAAAAATTTCAGTACAGGTTATTACTAGATCTATAAATGTATTATTCAAAAGCAGCAAACAAAAACCAAAATCTGGATATGAAAAATGATCCAAATAATGTCAAACTTCTATTTTACACATGTATATAACGACTATTCTATATTCAGAAGTCAGAAAAGACGAAATCTGCTGAAGCTACAAGTGTCTCCAGGGTGTTCTGTGATAGCCGACCTCCATCACTACTGGTAAGTCTGAATAACCCACGGCAGTCATATAACAATTTGGAGGGGAAATTAAAATAAAAAATGTTTTTAAACAAGAATATTCAAAATCCTATTCAGTATATATTTCACCAGAACACTGGTGTTCAAACTCTGTCCATTTTTTTCCTGGTATATTAAATTTGGATGAAGTTTTAATCATTATGATAGCAGTTATTGATTGCTTAAGGGGTTATAATCTGATGTTGAACCTGTGAACTGTTAAAGCAAGTTTGGCAATTACAATTATCAGCAATTTTTAGAAAAAAATATTATTCATAAAATATCAAACTTAAAGCTGTTTTGAGATTTAATGAATTATTAAGACTGAATGCTGGTCTCCAAATATGATAGTACAAGTACTAAGTATTAAACTAAATATTGTTGAACTTGTTTAAATGTTCCTTTTTGATTTCAGTCAGAACATGAGGTTGACACCATTACAAAGCTACACACTATCTGTAATAGCCAGAGGAAAGTGAGCTACGTGGATGTCTCCAAGGCCGGAATGGTCATCAAACATTTCCCTCGTAAGTACATTAAGTGTATCTAAATCCAATGAGGGGGAGATTTCTATTCTACAACTTCACTAAATGCATGTTATATTTTCCAAGCTTAAACACTAAGTCCATCACCAGTGATACGAGAGGGGACTATATGTTTACGCTTTGTCAGTCAGTCTGTCATTCCATCGGTGCATCACGTTGTTCGGGTTATATATCAAATGCTGTAGTATTTGACAATCAGTCTTTAAATAATTGTGTCACTGAAGAAGAATAGAGGTTGTGGTTTGAGCTCTTTGGTTTGGTCTAATGTTATATATATGTGCTGTTTCCTTTCTTTGTGCTCGGCTTGTACGGTACACATACAATGTAACTTTACCCTCGCTCTCCTGCTTCCTTGTAATCCTCCAATGTATATTCATAATAATAGATATTTTCCCATGGTATTTATGAAACTAGGCTGCCCAAGGGTATCCAAACTTTGTGGAGAACCCTCACCCTTATATCAACAGAGCTTCAAAGGCAGCTAAATTTTATAAATAGCTTCATCCATTCTCCATACTCCATTCTCCATACTCCATTCTCCAAACAGAGTTTGGATACCCAGTGTCAATAAAACCACTGCATTCAGATCACTTCAGCCTAGTTTGTTAAAAAATTAAACAAACCACTAGAATAATTACCATTAAAATTTGAAGTTATGTAAATTTCTATAATAATTTAAATCTTGATTTAAGGAAGGCATCACATAAACTTGAAAGTGTTATATGTAGGTTACAGAAATATTTTATATTTATGAAATAATCAAAAGACACATGAGCACGATTGTAGATTTTTCTATTTTAAGTCACATTGTTTGTCTGTTACAGCTCCCAAGCATGCGTCCCGCCTCAGTTGGTGTGACCAGCTGACTAATGCTGATCTAAATCACCACACGCCCACCACTTCTCCTGCCAAAAGGTCCATTCTTCACCAGGTAAGTAATGGTAGCTTCAACGTAATAAAATCATCACACAGCAACTGCATTTTAAATAATTAAACCTATTTATTTCAATTTCAATATGCTGCTTTTCTGAAGAGATAAGAGACCATTTAATCAAAGGATTGGTCAAATAGTTTGTTAGCACTTGTTTCCTTTAATCGAAATAAAGTTTCTCAATCGGATGAGAAGTATCCTCCAACCTCCTTCTGTCTTATAGTATTTGGTCTTAGTCATGAATATCAGCCATTGGGACGGAAGAATTGATTCTTTTATTCTGGCAGATATTACACAACAAGATATGTTACTATGGAGGATAGAAGTTCATCTTTGTAAACATTTGGAAAAAGATGTTTTTGTTGTAATTATTATGCAGAATTTCAGACGTGTTATTTTGTAATTTTTTAAATAATACAGGCTCACACTAAGAATTAGCAACATGGTTTTAGTGAATAAGTTTACAGTATAATATATTAATTGAATTTAATTTTGTTTGTTTGTTTTCCAGCGTCCACAGAGTTTTATTTTCCCATATGTTGAAGATGAGCCATCCCCAATTGTGATAACACGTGTAAGACGAAGCAAGTCGTCAAGGAGGAAGGAATGGCCATGGTAACAATGTAAATCAAGGTCGCATCAGGAGGTCAAGGTCACCGTTTTACATTCAGAAATACCTAGAGCTGGGATTTCAGGTTCTTAAAGTCGAAGAAAAGGATGATCATGTACCAGAACAAGCACCTGTACACGCGACACACTAAACTTGGCAGAACGGCTCAGTAACTGGTCAATGATTTGGTACTCCTTCTACACATGTTTTGTGATTTCGCTGTAAATGAAGGAGTCCATTTCTGGATCTGGTGCTTTTAGCAAGTCTTTTGGCTGAAATCTGCTCTTGTAATGAGAAAAGTCAATCATTAAGAAAGATAGGCGAGACCTCATTCTTCGTATTTACATATCAGTTACAAAATACTGAAATGCTAGCAGAGCTCAATCCACCATGACCTTTGACCTCAGACCTATTTGGTTGGTGAGGGTAACTGGGGACATATTGTGCAGTATTACTACTACCCGTCGAGCTTACATCATCGAGCTGGCTTTATTAAGTTATGTTTTTGTTAACAAATGTCACGAATCTCTCAGTGCTGTGTTGTTATATTTATTTATTGAAATGATGGGACCGGATGGCATCCCATGTTTGTTGATGTAAAACATTAAAAAAAAAACTGTTATTCATGTTGTTGCCAGTTTTCTGGTATTGTTGTAAGGGTTAACTGGACTGGGGACAGTTAGTGGCGGCCGAGCTTGCTCGGTACTGGTATTCCCATTTCATAGTATTTTGTAATGTTTACATTACACAACATATAGAAATGTACATTAAAAGGTAGTTTAGATGTTTTATGTTTTATTGTCGTTTTATCAGCAGTCAGATATCATAATTTTGTCTTTTCCTTTAGTACATGTGTGTACTGAAACTCGGTTACTGTCCGAAATCAAACTTATTTTCAATATTTAAGTAAATAAGGATCTACCTGAAACATTGCCTTAACCTCAAGCTATAAATAAAGGTTATTTGACCTGGCCAGTATGGTACATTTAAATATATGTTTGGGGACGTCAAGTTTTCTCACTGACACTGAAAACATCTTTTCATACTAGTGTGTCCTTTAGTGTTTTACAATTTGTAAGATATGTTTCATGTGTGTGTTGTTTACACAGAGTTCTAACCTATCTGTATAAGGTGCACATGTTTTCTAGTAAATATACAGGACTGTTTAAGTCACACATTTTCTAGAAATACACAGGACTGAGTTTGGGTATCTTTTCATTATCAAAATTAAAAAAAACATCAGTCTCAATAATTTTCATTCCAGATTACAACAAAAAATAATTTGGTATTAATTTTTCATATCACATATCAATATTATCATATCTTGATTCATTTGCATTCCTTAATAAATACTCATGGAAAATCCTGTTCTTAAATAACGTTTGTATATTGAATGTAATAAACTTGCCAAGAATTGCAATACTATATATTTTTGTACACGAAACATTGCCGCTACTGATCTCGTATAAAATACACATCACTTTGGTGTCATACCAACGGCCTTGTCTCACCGATCAACAGTATTGTAAACGTGATAGTGATCTTTTGTTTAGGGCGTCTACAGTGTTTCTTTTTTTAGTTTTTACAGTTTTACTTAATATTTCTTTTTTAATATTTTATGTTCATATTGATTAAAGATCAATAAAATGTGAATCAAAATATTTCTACTAGTCAATCATCTGCTTGTTTTATTCTGCTTCATCAACATTTTCATTATACATTTATAACAGGTGCAATGCAATTAAATAAAAAGCTGTGTAAAAATCATTAAAATATGTAAGCTTTTGTAGTACTTCGTTAATAAGTACTTTACATACCATATTTATCTGGCAATAAGCCCATGTCATGTAACCAGCACATCCAAATCTATTGCAGTTCAGTAGAAATGCTAATAATTGCTATTTCATTGTCCTGTTATAAGCCCACAACCTACTTTGAGTATGTGTTGCCCCCTGGGCTAATTGCAGGATATATATGGTAAAAGTATAAAGTTCATGATGTATTTGTGTAGAAGTTCTGTACTCATTAGTGCAATTCATCTAGATTATCTTCACATTCAAAAGGAATGTTATCATATCAGTTATCAAATGTACCACAATCAAATAAATGGTCGATTATCAGAACATTGTCCTAGTAGTATAGAAGTCTTGTGTGAGTGGCTTATATCTGCAAGTGTTGTGGAATATAGCCAGGCTGGTTTGCGTTTCTATTTTTATTATGACTTTAGTCATAAAGGGACTTTTAATAAATCAGTATATATGGTTTGTAATTTTAAAATTGAACAAATGTAAAATGATTATTGAATAATCTTTCAAAAGTATTTAAATTGTGTCACTGATCTGAATCGTCAACGAAAGCTGGATTTTTTTAATTTATAAATGTTTTCTACAAGTTAATATCGGAATTTCCTAAATCAATACTTTGCCGGTTTTCTATTTATTGATGGACTCTACTCAAAATCCATTATAAGAATATAAAAACAATTTGCCTGTTCCAACTTCAATTTTTTTTATATTAGGTTGGGTATGAAACTATTAAGAAGTAGATATACTGGCTATATATTTGTCAATTGGCACTTGAAACCCAGTAGCGAACAAACATAGCTTAAGAGTTATATGATTACATACATATCATTAAGATATTCAGGTGGAAAAAGTTTTCCTTTTGAAACGATGTTAAAACTTTTCATGTATGTGAATGCTTTTTCAAATGTGGAGGAAATGTAAAAGAGTTTGACAATACCAGTGCTTTTTAGTGCAGGTGTACTTAACTATTATCAAGGTCAACTTGTTTTTAGTGCCAGTAAAAGAGGAGGGTGCTTATTACAGCAAATAATATTTATTGACATCAAAGTTGTATTATAATGTCCTGAATTTTCTTCTCCACCTAAATGAATACTGTCCTAAAAAATGCATATTAAATAATCACAGACCATCTACTAGAATATATTTTATTCTGCATCTCTATATTTTTAGGTAAGGTTTTGAAAAATACGATTTGCTTGAAGGATGTTTTTTATTGAAGAAAAAACTTCAAATGTATATTTTAACTCTTTTTGATATTCTTCATTCAATGTTAAAATATCAGTTCATTTCAATATCCTGACACTTCAGTTTTTGTATGTTAAGATGGAAATACAACATAGAATTTGATCAGTGAAGGAATCAGTAAAGGAAATTTCAGATTAAAAATTAAAATGAATTTCCTATTAATCAAGAATTAAAGGATTGTGGGTTCAGTATAGCAATAGAAAGTGAAATGCATGCAGTATGATTATTTTTGTTTTATTTGTTGTTTTCTTAGCTTGTTATTCTTACTATTGAACAAGGTTGTACGAACTTTTATTTAAAAGTGTGTAATTAAATAAAAGGAATATTTTTGATGAAAATGTTATATTAATAATAATGCATGTTTCGTTTATTATTGAGTAGAAGTCCAACCTCTCTTTTTCTGTTGTCCGTCTACAGAAACCAGCACCAAGTAATTAACTCAAGTACCCATATATATTTTTCAATGCCAGATAGGACTTGGGTAATCTTGATGAAAGCAGATTTTGTAGCATAGCATGTACATACATCCTGTAATGATTTAAAATCAGGATGTGAATCTTGCAAACAGGGGCCATATAGTTAGCATAGACAATCGCATACATACTTTACAACAGTTTATGAGGGGATCGGATAAATCATGGTTTTTCATAGACCCTCATTTTTGTTACACTGCCTATGAACCGAGAGATCTAATTTTGTCATGTTTTTTGTGTGAAATATAGGAATTAAAGAGATATCCATGAAAAATTACAAAATTTAGAGCATTAGTAATCTACATCTACAAAACGTACAAAATTGTACTTGGGTTAAAAATTTGAATTTGTACAAAAAGGGATTAAATTATCATAAAGTTACAAACAAATTGTTTTTCTTGTCCGGTCAGCATGGGACTTTTGAAATACATACAGGACAATCTTGGAGAGCGTCTCGTGGATTCTAATTTCCTTGGCAATTTTTGTATGAATAATGTATCAAATGCAGAGATCCCAGTCAAAATATGTTCACAAGTGTGGCTGGATGTAGCAAGATTATCAATTTGAGCAAAGAACTTAATTATATCAAAAGAATTATTTAGAATGAATTAAGTTTCGATTCCTAATGGTATAAATTGTTTATATTTTTGTGGTTGAAACCTGTTTTCATTCATAGTTGAATTACATTGTGTTACTATAATAGTCTTATATAAAACCCTTCCTTTGATAGTGTGTAAATATATTGAGAAGGTGTAGTTTTGAAAATGCATGAATTGGTGTGTCAAAGATCATGTTTATATTATTGATCGGTGTGGCCAATGGGAATGAATAATTTATTTTTGTATGAAGGTAAGAAGACAATTGGTGTATACAGGTGTATTGTGGAATGCTGCTGAACATTGTATAATTGCTGATGGTTGATATAAGCAAATTGCTAACTACAAATTGCTCATTGCATTCAGTAGGATGAAGGGGAGACAGAAAGCTTGGGACGCATTCGCGTATCCTGGTTGAATTATATAACGTTCCTTAAAATACGCAAGTGTATTGACCTTGTTTTATGAAGAAATAATGCAAACTAGTGACAGCCAACATTTAATTTTCGTTCAGGCACGTCTGGACCGCTCAATATACATGTGCCAAATATTCCTGAGATCAGCCTCAGTTCAGATCTTAGCCTTTCATTTTCTTTCATGTTCGACCGTTTCAACTGGATATGCGATAGGGGCCTAGCTAAAGGTTTTGTAAGATGTTTTTTTAGTTCACATCCAGTGATTTTCTCTTGTTTGATAACACTGCTATGTCCTTGACAGTTTCTCTCGAGTAGCAGTGTGCTGTTTCTCTGTGGAGATCCATGTTCCTTATTGAACCTTATTGCAAGTTTTAATGCAATTTCCTTCCCTGTTAGTACCGAGGTCATTTGGAGATGATATAGTGGTGCTTTATATAGAATAAATATTTGTAACAGATTGAAAAAAAATTATACGAAAATGAGCTATTATTTTTACAAAATGAGCAATTTGCATATATCAGCAAATCGGGAAACAAAATCAGCGATTGGTTATGTGTGCAAGCATTTCATACAAATACTATTGTATGTGTGTAAGGCAAGTGATGCAGAAGGTACAGCATGTTATCAGTATTGTTTGATAGATATATGATATAGTCCGGTCAGGTGGATCATACTGTTAAAAGTATTTAAATGTGTGTGAAATCTGTCTTTCCGTCTTTCCCTTTCCTGAAATTTCTTTTGATCTGTCAGCTATCATGTAAATAAAAACTATCATATGACACATACTGGTGACTTTGACTTCATTTATATTGAACATTAACTGAATGTTTAGATACCATGTGTAATTGGAATTAATGTTCTTTTGTGTATTTGTTGAGATAAGACGCTGATAGAGGAACTTCTTCAGAACTATGAAGCCAGGATTCATGATAAAAAATAGTCCAACTTGCTGGGCTAAAGATTATCTAGCGTGTTCAAATGAACGACTTTGATCAGCATTGTCAAGGTCACAAAAGTTGAACGTGTATTTTCGAAACAAAAAACATTACTGATGTAAGTTCATCAATACGGCCTGTTGTGGCTTCTCATTTTCTTATCCAGTATTTGCTGTAATTAGTGCCAAAAGTGCCTATAACATTGGCTGAATGGGGCCCTTAATTACTTAAATATGTTGGTTGCTGTGTGTAAAGTTGACTTATAATCAACAGTCAAACATATTCAAAAAATGTTTTCTCTTCTAAAATATATGAGAACAGTTTTGATAAGTCTTTTAAACTGAAGTGTTTTGTGAAAAGGTAAATTAATTTCGTTAACCACAGCAGGCCAGGATAGAGAACTCTAGTGCGTTTGTAAAGAAGGGGCTTACATTATTTGAATAAGTATAAAAACAGGGGAATGGGGTTTGTAAAATGGGCAGTAATTACAGCGAATACAGTATAATTTATTGACATAGTTCCACATAATAATACAAACAAAAAACATTAAAAACCAAAATCAATAATCATTTACATATATTTTTTTTAACTGCTTGTGTATTAATTCTGATATTTTAGTATATTGATGGATACTTTCTCCCGATGTTCCGTATCTACATCTTTTAACTGGATTTTGTAGAAAATTACTACAGTATAAACATGCAGTGCTTTCAGTTGACTGTTGACATTTAGAACGGCAAATAATATGTTCCCTAAATTTTTGAGGTTCAGAACTCTTCTAAAGGCTCTTTATGGGGAATTGAAATCATACTCTAAAGGGTCTGTTGAAAGCCCTGGACATGTGGAGAGCAAACTATCTGATTGGGTGAAAGTTGCCCAGAATCCAGTGTCTAAACCTAAACATAAATGTGATCCCCTGTGTGATCCAGTTAAAATTTTCCAGTTCTATGGTAATAACAATAACAGTTATTTCAAATATCCTCAACGTGAGATTTCATACCAATAGCAGATACATTCCAAACACAAGTTTAATCGCAACAAAGCACAACCAACCACAAAAAAAGTTTCCATAACGGCTCATTGCATGTGAGCTCCTTTGGAGAAATTAAAAGAAGTTTAGGAACTTTTCTGTGGATCCGTATGATCTACACCAGGTTCTGAAACCCCATACAACTCCTGAAAGATTAATCCATATCATTATAACATGTAAAGAAATGTTTCCATTGACATACACTCGTACAATTTGTGTATAGATATTCTCAATAAGTGAACAGATTCATTCTCTCACAGAATTTGCAATAACCTTGCACATACATACAAAAATAAACAGATTCAGCATCTCGGAGAAGGTACAATAATATTAATCCTGTGCTGACATTCTAAACAAGTACAAAGATTCAGCCAATCTTGGAGAAATTACAATTAGCCCCAGTTTTCTCATTAAGTGAACAAAATCAGCTACTCTGACGCAATTAAATGAGATCACAATGGCATCCTAATTATCAACTCTTACATTCTCAATAAGTACACATATATTCTCACAGAAATTAAAATAATATTGGACAAAACATATTCAACAACTTTGATAATTACAACAGTTCTCACACTTGCATCCTTAATAATGAACAGATTCAGCTTTTCAAATAAATTACAATAAGCTCAAACTTACATTTCTTCTTACACACGTTAACAGAGTCGGTTATCAGAGAAAATAAAATATAATCGCAAATCAATATCATTATCATCAATCACCTAACATGCAAAACACATATTTTACATAATATGTATATAATACACCATAAAAATACATAAGTATCTAAATGAGGAATGTTTTAAATGGTAATGTAGAGAATCCTAGTTTATCATAATTATGTAAATGAGGAATGTTTGGACGGGTAACATAGAAAATCTTTGTTTCTCTGGATGTGTAAGCAAACCTGACTAATTTAGGCGAAGCAGAGCCAATATTCAACTTCGCAAATCACCCTTTCCTCCTATTTTTAGGTGTTAACCCCCACTACTTTCCACCCAGATCTAGGAATTCTCTTGTCACAATTGGTCACTGGTACCAATTGGTAACTGCTCAAGATTTAAAGTTAGTATTTAAATCTGGAAGAGTCATTGGACACTAGACACTACTAGTGACTACCAACTGAACATCCGCTCCTTGTCAACCGAGAAAGTTTCTGATCTAGCTGGTCCCTGACGACAGAGAGACCTGTCTCAGTACTCTTTAGCAATGGTAGGAATTGCTATTGTTGAGCGTCATATTAGGTAAGTTCACCTTACTGTTGCTGCAAAAAGGCTATCCGCCATAATTACAGGATATTGAGCTAATTATGTGAAATGCAGGAAAAGATTGCATTAGCTCTCTAGTACAAAAACCCGGGAATGATTATGACAATGTTTCATAAACACTACATGGTGCTGCTAAGACCACAGAGTTCGTGATAGCCATATATGGTGTTACCTTGACTGTACAAGTTATGAGATTCTAGGAAGAAGGTTGATAGTGGATTAATGAGTGTTTAAGGTCATACAGCCCTGATCACTCTCCTCCATCAAAGTATAGACTTATCTGTCATGTTCAGATACTTCGCATAGGTTCAGTGATGATGAGAAGATGACATTATGTCCTGGAATGTCAATTTCTTTCTTAGAAAATCCTGTCAGTTCTTTTCAGTTGCCATCATTTTTCCTATGGACGGTTTATCAGAAAAATATATCGTCGATCCTGCCTTGTGCTGTTCAAATATCAAAATCTGAAACGAAATATAAAACCACTATGTTAATTCATTAATGCACAATCTATCCTCTGACATGCGACTACTTTCATCAATTCATATGACCATATCCTCCTATCCTTTCTACAAAAACAATCATAGCAACATTTTGTCACCTCCATTGTATGGAACATAACCTTTGATGACCTCCAGATTGTATTATGAAGCTTTACGATTGTACAGCTTGTTGCCTAACACTCCAAGATATAAAACCAAAAGGTCAAGACATCCATTAACCCCTTAACCCCTAACACACTTGTGTTTATACATTTTACCTACAGTAAATGTGTCTAACATATTATTTTTCGAACTCAATACATTTTACTGAAATGGGGATTTAAGAAAATTGATCACATGCATGTCACACATAGCGATGGTATATATCACAGGATAATTTTTTAAGATTTGTGTAATTCTGAGAAATAATCGCATTCGTTATAAATATAAGAGGCCCACAGGGCCTGTATCGCTCACCTGTTTTTTTTTGTTACATAAAACTGACATATAGGTAACTTCAGACCGAATTTGGTAACTAGAACACAAGACATCAACATATCTTAAACGCTTCTTTAGATATTGTTGTTTGAAATTTGAAATTTGAATTTTATAGCTTTTAACCCATGTTGACCTTTGACCCCTGACTATCACTTAAAGTTGACCTTTGACCACATTACTGTAATTAAGAAAAATATTTGCACTGCTGGTCTACATAACATACCCAGGCATCGTGCCTCTAGTCCAAATGGTTCTTGGAATATTGTTGTTTTAAGTTTTTAACATATTTGACCCCTTGAAAGTATGTCAAGGTCATCTTAATGAGTAAACTTTATTGCAATTCATGCCAGGTATCTACTGGCTAAATATCATGACCCCGTGCCTTATGGAACTTGGAAGAAGATTGTTAAAGCTTTTAACCCACGTTGACTTTTGACCCCTGACTAGCACTTAAAGTTGACCGTTGCCATTATTTCTGTAATAAAGAAAAATATTTGCACAGCTGGTATACATGTCATAACAAAGTATTATGACTTTAGTCCCAATGGTTTTTAGGATATTATTGTTTGAAATTTTAAACAAATTGACACTTGTGTCCTTGAAAGTACGTCAAGGTCATTTTAATGAGGAAACTTCATAGTACTCCATCCCAGGTACCTACTGGCCAAATATCATGACCCTAGGTCCTCCAGTTCTTCTGAAAAATTCCTTCAAAAGAAAAAGTTGACGGACAGACGGCGGACGATGGAAGGATGCTGGATGATGGCCAGACGCCGGACGAGGGATGTACGCCGAACACTGCAGTACGGCATAAGCTCACATGGCCCTTTGGGGCAGGTTAGCTAATTATGAATTACTCACCGAGTTTACCCCTCGTTTCAGGAAGGAAGAGGGGACATAAAGAAACCTCTGGGGCCCCACACTCCAGTAACGACCAACCATGTGGCTATTCACAAAGACCATCCCCTTCTGCCAGCCCTTAAAGTACATATATAGGCAGTCTGTTAAACATTCAGTCACTCAACAAATGACATCTCCATCTAAAATCTAGAAAATATGCTGCGACTTCTTTTCAGTTTTGGTAAGGAATCCCAGGTTTATTTTTGAAACCGGTCTATTTTCAAGGACGTTTTTATTTTTTCGAGTATAAGGCATGTGCAGCATATTTTCGAAGCCTTTTAATGGTCTGAGTCATAGTTGCATGTTGCTAAGAATATATTCAAAAACATTTTAACGTCGACCTATATTCAAAGCAGGCTTACTCTCGAGATATACTTGACTGCAAGGAACCCCAGGCTTACTTTCAAAGCGGCTAATTCACCATACAAATGACATCCCCTTCTACCAGTCCTACAGTACTAGCACATCCCTGTTCAGACTTAACTTTAAGAAGACATGTGATTGAATGTTGTGTTTCCCAATGGATGGGGCCTTGAACTTTTAACCCGACCCTGCTGTACTTACTGCGAGGGATAGAAATGTGTCTGTGGGTGGTTGATCTATGTAAAGCTCTGCTCGGTACATTGCTGGCACCAAACCCGGTGAGGCAAATGGCTTCCAATTGTCAAACGTTCTGATTCTGCAAGTACAAACAGAAAATCTTAATATCTGTATTCAAAAAAATAAGTTCACCTCTGATGAAGTTGGTTTATCTGTTGGTCTATTTGTTTAATGCTTGATTTAGCTTAGTTATTTTTTTACCTGTTGGTGTACCGGTTGTTGTAGTTAACCAGTTGTTGTAGTTAACCTGTTAACTAGTTTACCTGTTTCTAAACATTTTCTTCAGGTTGGTATGTATGGATTATGAGAACTTCTTTTTACACAACCAATAAAATTTTCTATGTGACGTTTCGATGTCTGTTGTTGTAGTTTGCCTGTTTACATAGTTTACCTGTTGATGTAATTGACCTTTTGATGTTGTTTACCTGTTGATAAGTTCACCTGTTGATGTAGTTTACCTGTTGATGTAATTTACCTCTTGATGTAGTTTACCTGTTGGTTTAGTTTACCTGTTGTTGTAGTTTACCTGTTGGTGTAGTTTACCTGTTGGTGTAGTTTACCTGTTGGTGTAGTTTACCTGTAAATGTAATTTATCTGTTGATGTAACGTACCTGTTTATAAGTTTACCTGTTGATAAGTTCACCTGTTGGTGTAGTTTACCTGTTGATGTAATTTACCTCTTGATGTAGTTTACCTGTTGGTGTAGTTTACCTGTTGTTGTAGTTTACCTGTTGACCTTATTTACCTGTTGATTAGTTTACCTGTTGATGTTATTTACCTGGTGTTGTAGTTTACCTGTTGGTGTAGTTTACCTGTAAATGTAATTTATCTGTTGATGTAACTTACCTGTTTATAATTTTACCTGTTGATGTAGTTTACCTGTTGATGTTGTTTACCTGTTGATGTAATTTACCTGTTGATGTAGTTGGTTGAGAAATCTAGGCTGTAGATTGACCAGTGTTCAATAGCGTGGCGGTCAACCAGCACATCACCATGGAGACCTGAAACAGAGGACAGCACATATGTCATAGTCATTTTTGTATCACCATTCGATACAGGGACATAGTCTGCACTTTGTAGTAAGTAAGAAACACATGTTTGTTTGAATTCTACAAGATATTTTCATCTTTGTTCTAGGATAACAAAATATTCACACATTATTGTAAAATAGCAACATACTCTCAAATACATCATACTATTCTTATTTTCCATTTTTTTAATCTTTGCTCTCTAGGTGACCATTTGAACATATCCTCACCTTTCCTCTGCATGTCCAGCCATTTTGACCCCTGTTTGACCTCACTGACCCGACCGGCATTTTCAATCAGAAGGTCCAGTGTGTTGTTGGTGAAAATACTTTCAGAGGAGACGTCAGTTGTATGGAAGTCAGCAGTGGTCCAGTCAAACACCTTCTCCATGTTTATACCGTTCAGCATCAGCTGAACACACAATACTGATGTTAATGTACAAGATTCAGCATCAGCTGTTCACACAATACTGATGTTAATGTACAAAATACAGCATCAGCTGTACACACAATACTGATGCTAATGTACAAGATACAGCATCAGCTGTACACACAATACCGATGTTAATGTACAAGAGTCAGTTTAGTGGGTAATTTTACCACTGTTTATCTATCACCTTTTTCACCCTATATCCTTGTCACATGACAGGAAGTGGACAATGGCCACACATATCACTGATAACTACACTGACTTTACATAGCTTGAACTGACTACAGTTGAGCTGCGTCAACCGTCTGTGAAGGGCAATATTAACACTGGGTAACTATATATTTTGGTAAGTGAAGGGCAAAAATTTAACTACGCAAAACTTTCCTGCTATGTAATGTAACTGCTGAAGATGTGGGGGAATAAAGGCAATATACAGAATGTTTACAATGTACATAATGTTGACAAAATATGAAACCTACAATAAATAATTAATACAAAGTCGGTGATGGCAGGGTTAATACAGACCTGTAATCTGTCTCGAGGCTTGTCGGTCAGTCTGAGGATGGTCGCACTAGGTATGGTTGACCTGTACAGTATGAAACCTGACCTTTGACCTCTCTTCAGCTCCTCCATTGTCAGTAAAAGGCGGGACCTCTGGACATCCTGTAACATCAACACCAGTTACTACTAGCATCACCAATCAACAGAGGTCAAGGTCAAGGTCACTGGCCAAAAGAGGTCAACATAAACAGTAGCATCACTGTTTAACAGAAGTCAACACCAATGTCACAGGTCAGTAGAGGTCAATATGAACAGTAGCATCACTGTTTAACAGAGGTCAACACCAATATCACAGGACAGTAGAGGTCAATATGAACAGTAGCATCACTGTTTAACAGAGGTCAACACTTATATCACAGGTCAGTAGAGGTCAATATGAACAGTAGCATTACTGTTTAACAGAGGTCAACATTGATGTCACTGTCAATATTAAGATCAAACAGTTTGTACCAAAATTCTTTTGCATACCAAGCATCTTGATGTATAATTTGTTAAATCACAATCTTATTACATTACTTTCTTTGAGTAAACTAAGGTGTCAAACTTTTTTTAGGTTTTATTTCACAGAGGCACATTTTGACAAGTTGTTTGAATTTGCTGTACATCTTTTATTTCCATGGTATTAACCAGGATCTACAGTGTTTTCAATGGTCACGTACCTTCACTCTAGACAGCATGTTCTCAAAACTCAGATAGGCTTGTATTTCCACACTACCTGTAAAATAAATTAACCCTGTCATCCCCTGCCTGGTGTTGATGAATCTTTCTACTAAAATGTTTTACAAAAGTGAGCAGGAATCACATAGATACAAAAAACAAACACACACACAATTCTCCTCTATCAATCAGGAAATCAGACAATGGCCTTCTAAGATATCTGACTGACCGGAAAAAATAACAACCTTGTCAAAGGGAAAACTAATTTATTGAAACTGATAGGCTTATAAATTGTTGACAACATCCAGAGGGGTGGCTATTCTGAAATATTAAAGAGAGACTTTTGAAGAGATTACTTGAACACGTTTGTACTAATGTTAAGCATAATGTATGATATATATGGGAGAACATAATTAGGGGATAGTACGTTGTTTTTTCGTGTCTATACTGGCGATTAGAACATGAAATTTGTGTTTGAACTCGAGACCGATAGGTCAACAGTTTAAACCAAATTTCATGTTCTAATCGCCAGTATAGACACGAAAAACAACGTACTATCCCCATTCTAACACATCTTAACAAATATACTATGCTAATATGTTTAGAAACATTGTATTTCCTTGTACAAAAGTACTTTGTGACCTGAACTGGCGACGTGTCATTCTGCAACGGACTGACCAATCGGAAAGAAGCTTTCAAAAGTCGGTCATTTAGCCCCGCCCATACTGGCGAGAGCTCGATCTGTATGTTGACTAGGCGGAATATTTGGATTGTTCGTGAACGTCCTGTTACCAAAGTTTATACGACATGGAATTAATATTGAACAAGGTCTTACATTTCCATGTCAGTATGCATACCAATCGGAGCTTATCGACAAAATCGGTGATTATTTGAATAGATTTTTGAAGAGTTTTGTGTAAATGCATACGACACATGTGAAATGTTTGATTTTATTTCGGATCTAAATAGATGACTTTACACGGATGGAACGAACGTTTCAGTAATAAATGGAGGTAAGAACAAGGAATGCGTTCTTTTTACTTTTTAATTCATTCAACAAATGCATTTCATCGGTCGTTTTTGTCTGTTGCCTACTAGCCTTATCAGCGGGATTTCGCTATGAGGGGATCTTGACGCCATATTGTTTTGGTTAGAAACGGGGCGTGGTTTAAGTGCGATGGGAGGAGCTTACACGATTGACCATGATTCCATCGCAGATTAGAACATGGTCCGTATCCAATCAAAACACGCGTTGCAAACGAATCGTGTTAGAATCATCAATAACAGATAACATGCCTGTGTTTATATAACCCCTCTACCTCAGAGAAGTGATTCTGTAAACCTATCACCATCAATAACAGTTACATGGCTGTGTTTATATAACCCCTCTACTTCAGAGAAGTGATTCTGTAAACCTTTCACCATCAATAACAGATAACATGGCTGTGTTTATATAACCCCTCTACCTCAGAGAAGTGATTCTGTAAACCTATCACCATCAATTACAGATAACATGGCTGTGTTTATATAACCCCTCCACCTCAGAGAAGTGATTCTGTAAACCTATCACCATCAATAACAGATAACGTGGTTGTGTTTATATAACACCTCTACCTCAGAGAAATGATTCTGTAAACCTATTACCATCAATAACAGATAAAATGGCGGTGTTTATATAACCCCGCTACCTCAGAGAAGTGATGCTGTAAACCTATCACCATCTATTACAGATAACATGGCTGTGGTTATATAACCCCTCTTCCTCAGAGAAGTGATTATGTAAACCTATCACCATCAATAACAGATAACATGGCTGTGTTTATATAACCCCTCTACTTCAGAGAAGTGATTCTGTAAATCTATCACCATCAATAACAGATAACATGGTTGTGTTTATATAACCCCTCTACCTCAGAGAAGTGATTCTGTAAACCTATCACCATCAATAACAGATAACATGGCTGTGTTTATATAACCCCGCTACCTCAGAGAAGTGATTATGTAAACCTATCACCATCTATAACAGATAACATGGCTGTGTTTATATAACCCCGCTACCTCAGAGAAGTGATTATGTAAGCCTATCACCATCTATAACAGATAACATGGCTGTGATTATATAACCCCTCTACCTCAGAGAAGTGATTCTGTAAACCTATCACCATCTATAACAGATAATATTGCTGTGTTTATATAACCCCTCTACCTCAGAGAAGTGATTCTGTAAAACTATCACCATCAATAACAGATAACATGGCTGTGTTTATATAACCCCTCTACCTCAGAGAAGTAATTCTGTAAACCTATCACCATCAATAACAGATAATATGGCTGTGTTTATATAACCCCTCTACCTCAGAGAAGTGATTCTGTAAATCTATCACCATCAATAACAAATAACATGGCTGTGATTATATAACCCCTCTACCTCAGAGAAGTGAGTCTGTAAACCTATCACCATCAATAAAAGATAACATGGCTGTGTTTATATAACACCTCTACCTCAGAGAAGAGATTCTGTAAACCTATCACCATCAATAAAAGATAACATGGCTGTGTTTATATAACCCCTCTACCTCAGAGAAGTGATTCTGTAAACCTATCACCATCAATTCTTCCCCTCCTTAAAAGTTAACAGTTTTGTTACCTTGTCATCAACAGTTTCCAAATAGATGTCATTTTACATGGCTGCTATTTGAGAATAACAGTATTATTTTTGGGGTTATACAGTATATATAGAAGAAACTGTGTGCACTTTGCATAAATTCACGAAACGGATTACAGTGTTACAGTACACAGTGTTTTCCTTTCCAAAATTAAATTATTCTTTGAGATGATAGTATATGATCATAATGACAATCATACAGTGTGGAGGATGATGATGTATTGTTGATGAGGAGGTAAGATGATGATGTATGATGATGGTGATCATAAGTTGATGATAGTGTTTCATGAGGATGATAACAACGACAATATGTCGCTATCGATGATGATGATGATGATGATGATGAAATCAGGTGAAGGATGATGACAGTGTTGTTTTTTACATTACCCACCAGTCCTTACATGCATAACACTTGAATCAGCTTTTTCATGTTAAAAATTGCATGGATAGGAACATTACCACTTGTGAAAGGGAAATACTGTTGTAGTTCAAAATCGATAGTATATGTGACCTTTAATCTTGACCTTAACAAATGATAAGTTGTAACTCTATTGAAATTTTAAATCATACTGTACCATAAGCAGTCTTCTGTGGAACTCGAGATATATCTGGAAAAAAATTCCATAACTACATGCGAATGACAATATAAATCTGATACCTCAACCTCTTTGTTTGATCAACTTTTAACATTATTTACAAAATTATAAATGAGAAAACATATTTACAACAATATACAATATCAAATGTAATATATATGGGGGACAAATCAGGGTCCTTTTTGAAACAAAATTTTGATAAATTTGCGTAAATTTCTTCAAACTTTAACATTGTTTGTATTCATAAGTTCTGAGAACTTTACAATATTTGGCATCACATAGAAGTATTTGCATCAATATAACTTCCTTTCTGGAAACAGAAAGGAACATTTTAACAAGTAGTGAAATTTGTCACCAATGTCTTGGGTATTGCAATATGTGCATATTCTGTTTAGTAATCAACATTATTCCATCTTCCAGTTTCCACCATAAACCTATGATTACTAGTTCTAAATTTACACAATGCAACTCGTTCATTTTCAGTCAACAATTCTAGATAATTTTCAAAATTATAATTATATTTATTTGTTCTGTAACACACAGACTTAGAAGAATTAAAGGGAAGTGAGTCTAGGTGCAATGGTGGTATATATCAAACCAATTATCACAATGTAAACCCCCTATTACTACACTCAAACCAGGAACACACAAACATTTTATACAAACATTTTTTTTTTTTTATTTCCTTTAGTTGCAATTAAAGAGGTTCATTATTACATTGTATTACCCAGAAATTCCTTTTACAAACTAAGCATACCACATCTAATGTGATACATGTACCAAGATGTTATCATAGGGAACACCATGATAATTCTAACAAATAATGCATTACAATGTTTTGACATTTGAATTCTTTCTAAAATTGATTCCAATTCTATATTTTTTCATCTGCCGTCAGCCAAGCATCGCAATGATTTTAACTTCATCCCTTTCCAATGAATATGACCATTGGGATACAGAATTAACACTACATGCCATCTTGTCATTTCTCACATCTTCACCATCTTCCTGGAAAGGAGCTGACCCTAAGGGATCATACTAAGTACTTAAAGATTCATACTAAATTCTTCAGGCAATCAGAAGTAATGAGCCAGACAAGGTCTGACCCCTGACCCCTAACCATGACCTTCACCTTTAGTAGTGTAGTGACCAGAGAGTGCAACATGTCGTCTGTTCATGACAAGTGCATTTAGAAAGCTTCATAATAAAAAGTTGAGGTTAAGGTGTTAATGGACAGACTGATAGACAAAGGCTCCAATTAGCAAGGTGACCACTATATACCCCCATTACTTTGTGTGTGTGTGGGGGGGGGGGGGAGTTATATGTTAATGTGCAAAACGTGATGCTCACCCGATAATACTAAATCCTCGGGTCGGATGTAGTCGTACTTCAGAAGCATTTCTGTGATAGCCTTGAATTTAGGTGTTATGGCTCCCCATTCTGTTAACGGTGCATCATAATCTGTAACAGAATTGTTTGGTACATCCAAGATCTGAGTCTACATGTGACTTAGCATGAAGCTCAGTTTTTTCTCAACCAGAACATTCACACAGCATTCATTTCACAGATTTGATGTTAGCATTTTTACGAAACTGCAAATTTCAATTCACCTTAACCCTGAAAATAAAAACAAATATCATTGCCACAAAAAAATGCAGTATGACAAATATTTAACTTCACTAAGGAATTACAATTGTAGATAAGGAAAGGTTTAAAATAAGTACTTACCTTAGCATAGAATTCAAATTAAAAATAGTAAAGAAATGTTATATCCAATTATAAACAACTCTGTTTCTGTAGTTTAATATCTGGTTTTGTTAAGTGCTAATACTTGACAGATGTTCACTTACCATAACTTGTGATTCCTGGCCGGTAGCCATGACGATCACTAGCCCCAGCAGTACTATCAAAGTTTGTACCTCCATGGAACATGTAGAAGTTGACTGAGGCTCCTGTGTTCAGTATCTCCTCTAGGTTTGATGTAAACTCTGTAGAATATGAACACATCACTACTAACAGACCTGTGTATCAAACCTGTCACACATGTGTATAACACCTGTTTACAATAGTCATACATATCATAACACCTGTAAATATGAAGGTCATACCTGTGTATTACACCTATCTATAGAGGTCACAAAAATGTATAACACCTGTCTACAGTAGTCATACTTATCATAACACCTGTAAATATAAACGTCATACCTGTGTTATCATACCTATCTGTAACTATCACAGATGTCCCTAGTCACACCTGTACATTAAACATATTTGGAGATCAGACCTGTGTTTTACATCTGTCTATGTACCAGTCACACCTGTGTATCACACCTGTATTCAAAGTACCACATGTATTACACTTGTCTTAACAGAGGTCACATCTGTGTATTACAATTGTCTATATAGGTCACACCTGTGTATCACACCTGTCTATATAGGTCACACCTGTGTATCACACCTGTCTATATAGGTCACACTTGTCTGTATAAGTCACACTTGTGTATCACACCTGAATCAAAAGTACAACATGTAATATGTGTATTACTACTGTCTATAAAGGTCACACCTGTGTATCACACCTGTCTATATAGGTCACACCTGTGTATCACACCTGTCTATATAGGTCACACCTGTCTTTATAAGTCACACCTGTGTGTCACACCTGAATCAAAAGTACAACATGTAATATACTTGTCTTAACAGAGGTCACATCTGTGTATTACAACTGTCGATAGAAGTCATGCATGTCTATATAGGTCACATGTTTATTGATGTCGACCAATCAATGGAGGTCAAACCTGTCTACAGAAGTTGCATCTGCCTATAGGGGTGACATCTGTGTTTATCATCTGTATACAAAGGTAACTCATTACTTGACATTTTTACAGAGCTCATACCTGTATATAATATAGCAGTCTACAGATGCCACACCTGTGTATTACATACCTGTTTAAGCCACATACCTGTAAGTGTGGAGCCAGAGTTGTAGCTTTCTCCCCAGTAGTTGTACATACCTGTAAGTGTGGAGCCAGAGTTGTAGCTTTCTCCCCAGTAGTTGTACATACCTGTAAGTGTGGAGCCAGAGTTGAAGCTTTCTCCCCAGTAGTTGTTCGCTCCAGACCAGAAGCTGGAGACAAATAGTGGGAAGTCTGGACTCAGACCTCTGATGTGATCAAACGCTGGCTTTCCTTCCTCAATGTTGCTGATGCTGACTGTCGGTAGGGCGGCTATCAACACAAGACCAAGTTTACATACAAATAACTAGTTCAGAATCACTTTCTTGCCAAATAGTGGGATGTCAATGTTCCTTTTCCCTTACAACTCTACCATGAAGGAAAAGTTGCAAGACAATCCAAAGCATAGCATCCTAAACTGTGATGCCGTAATAACGTTTAACAGAAACAACCTATGACGATGCTATAACTTTGATTGTTCTGTTGAAGCAGTCGCTGTATGTATAGTAAACAGTTAACATACACCGATGAGTAGTTTCATTAGTATTTCTAAAAACACTTATTCAAAAATTTAATATGAGCATCTTTTTTACAACACTGGGTCAATATTTTTTAGGAGGTGAAAGTTTTAAATGTGCGTGGGCTGAAACATTATAGTGTACACAGTCATTGTCAAAATTAATCCTCATTGATTTACAATATAGCCAGTACTCTGAGGCCTCCACCTACCATCGTGGAAAGGTGCTACTGCCATGCCTAGTTTATTATCATCCCTCCAACCGTCTGACGTCAGCATCATTTCTCGCACACCGAGCTGTACCATCAGCTGTAATTATACAACAATAAACCTTATACTGTGCTGTCACCACAAACAAAACAATTAATATAATAGGTACAAGCTCTAAGCATTACACTTAGTTACTGTTTAGTTGTTGAATTATGTGGGGGTAATATTCCATGGTTGTCCCAATCAGATCTAGTTTACAGGTATAAAGTTTCATGCAACATGTCTAAGTAAAATTAGACCCACGAGGGGGCTTCTGTATTTAGATTATGGGATCTATCTTGTAAGCATTTCGTCAAAACAGAGTATAATACAGTAATGTATAGTTGTTGTTAATTCAGTATTCGGCAGTAAATGGGTAAGCAGGTATTTTTTTTTAAATTTATATTTATTCACAGAAATTATAATTCATGGTATTGATATTCGCTGGGTATTTAATTTCATGCTATCTTTGATGACTGTGAATATATAGCGAAATTCACTACAGCTAATAATACAAAGGAATAAGCTAGTAAGTGTACCATGAACTATCTGAGGAATCGCTACAAAGGACTACGGTGTCACAATACACCTGGAGTGTATCGGGATATAGTACAATACATAAGGAATGTATTGCGATACGTATCCCAATATATAGTAATAAGGAAAGGTCCTCAATTTAAAACAAACTTGTGGTCAGGATGTTTTCAAACTTAATCATGTATGTATTATTATTAGGTTTTATACATATTTAAGTTTTTTGCCAAAGTATTGATTTTGAAACTGTCATTGACTCGCACCACTAGTAATAATTTCTTTATGGGTTTTTTAGCTTATCTAGTAATTTGCAAAGGAAAACCATGTAGCAAAAACATGAAAATCAGCTTTTAAAAAATATATAGTGATACAGGGATATTTCATGTCTGTATTATTGTGATACATTACAATAGGCCTGTATATTGATATATATGCCTGTGTATTAAGATATAGTGGTTTTCCTATATATTGTGAGAGTCCCACAAAAGGACTGACATTGTAACAGGCACACCACACCTTTTTTAGATTCTGTAAGTGCTCAGTGTCTTCACTAAAGGATCCATACTGATGCTCAATCTGTACTGCTATGATAGGACCACCTTGGGAGTGCTGTAAGTAATACTTGTTTAATATAGGTTTGAAAACATGATTTATACTTATTCATTTCTTGAAAATTCCATTTTACTGATAACAAGCACAATTTCAAAACAAAGGTAAAACTCTTCCATGTCAAGTTAATTATAATGCAACAATCAAAGGATGTGTTTATATTTTCTGACATCATAAGCAATTATTGATGTGGTTTGTGCATATTTCAATCAGTATGATAATAAGCACAAGCTAATAATGAATTTGAAACAATTCAAAATTTATTAAAACAGTTTATAAAATCATTTCAAGCATATGAAGTGTACCACAAATATAAAATTCCATAATACTTCAGGAATTTATAGAGAATATTGTTTACCTGTTTCTGTGCTATAAGAGGCATAAGGTACGTGAAAAAGTTATTCACTGCAGACATGTAGCCGTCATAATCGGTTCTTACTTCCATGTCAGGGTCGCGTAACAACCAACTACAATACAAAGATATT